CGAGCTTAATCACATCTGCAATTTGCTTTTCCAGGCTCTGCCGGCCTTTGACGATCATTTCATGCACTGGCTTCTCTAGGCGCGAAAAGTAGGCAAGGAAATTGTCTAGCGACGCATACACAGTTCGGAATGCATCTGTGTCTTGCATACGCATGAACGCGTGTTCACGTAGTTGTTGTAGAAGCTTGATGCGCTGTTCAAATTGGCCAAGGGTAGTTGTCTCAAAGAAACCCTCCAATGACTTGAGTAGTTCTTTGGCATGAACTTGAAGACTTTTGTCATCCTTAGTGCTTTCTGAAGCAGCAATGATCGTTTCATACGCCACGCAAAACCAACTCTTGGCGTCACTGCGATACTTCTCTTCTTCCATGTCGAACAGTCGTGCCCAGGTAGTGAGCTCGAGTTGTCGCCAACTGACAAGTAATTTGGTCAGATCATCGTACAGGCCAGCAGCACTGTACTCTTTACTAGCGACAGTTTGCCATTCATGCATGAAAGCATGGAGTTTCTCGGCTTTGGTAATGAACTTGGCCACGGGATCAACGTGTCGGAACTCAATGGCTTCGTCACACGTGCGTAGAACGTCTGAGAGTGTGGCGTGCTCTGGCCACACATTCCGAATCTGACGATAACGGAACTGAATACGATGGATGAGCGCGATGAATCGTTTCGCTTCAAGAAGGTTGGAATCGAAGTAGAAGTTGTAATGTCTTCCTGCATGACTTGAAGACAAAGCATTGACCTTCCTGTCCAGAGCGAGGTAGATAGCCGGGAGTGCATCTTCGTGCTTACTACCGTGGCCTCTGCCATCTGAAATACGATTGAGTTCAGCCGCGCACCACTCTAGCAAGGCTTTTGTAGAGTCTGAAGCGTTTCTACCATTGACGAAAAGTTCGGAGTGAATATCAGCAAGTCGAATGGCATAATCTCGAGAATTCGATGGTAACGTAGGCTGCTTGTCGTGTGATTCTTGCTCCGCTTCGTAATCGGGAAAAAGAGTTGGATCATTCTCCTCTGTGTCATCGTCTAATCCTCGGTACGTGTATAGGCTCGAATTCTTAGCTTCTTTCTCTTGATCATGGAGAAGTTTGGTCTTCCAATCGCCGTACAGACTAGCAAACAGATCATGTAGTAGATTCCTGGCTACGGGAAGAGCCAAAACTTGAGGATCTGTGCTCTTGAGGAAGAGTATTGAGTGCAGAGTGTGCCACCTCAAGTCTACGACGTGGTTCGACTGACCCAAACCTGCCTCCATAGCCCGCAAGAGCAACTCTGGCTTTTCCATAGGCTGCGACCGCCCAAAGAAAGGAGTTCTCGATGTGATATAGGAAATACTGTTTCCGGTAGCACTATGGGATGTCCTCTCTTTTTCCATCTGGCCAAGTATGAGACCGATCTGAAGGCATACAAGGAACCCGACCACAGTGTCCGTGATGTCGTCGTACGCTCGATAACCTTGAGTCAGGCGCTGCACAATTCGAAGGAGATTTTGCTGCAGTGTTTGGTCGCAAGCAGCTTCTCCCATTGACATAGAATGATTAAGGAGAGGCTGTATAGTACTGAGCAAGTTTGTGAATTCGCCTTGCAGGCTGTCAAGCTCGGATACAGCAGGGCGAACAATTGCTGGTACTGGTGGTTCTTCGCCCATGTTGTTGATAGTCTCCTCAATCTGCCGGATGTGAAGGCTAGTATTTTGGCCAGTGAAATCGATTTGGAATTGTCTCAAAGCACTCAATGCGTTCAACAGAGTATCCTTCTCGGTGCCGAACATGTTTCGCTCGATCGTCGGTCGTAGAGCAGGATCATGTGGGTAATTAGGTACGTACAACTGAAGACCGAACAAACCCAACTGTACCCAAGCAGTCGCGTCTACAGCAGAAGCAGAAGCTTTGAAGTAGGATTCTATACCGTGTTCCAGAGTTGATCGATATGTCTCGTGAATGTTGGTATCGGGGGAGAACTCTATTCGGCTCTGGTCTACAATTCGCAAGACTTCATTGGAATGAGATGCGATAAGCTGGTTGTAGATTTTAGTATAAAGATCCCTCAGGGCATTATTCTGGCCATTAGTTATGCGATTAGCATCCAACGACATCTGCTGAGATAGTACTTGGAGTTCTATCTCGAAACGATCAAGCTGTGCGAGCTTTACATCGTCTGCTCCATAGAGCTTTCCAATCACTGATGTATGGAATCGGTTCTGGATTACCATCGCATTTGCTGTTTGTCGCGTAAGGCCCAAGTAGTGGTAACATTTCGCAAATTGCTCCGATGGGCCTTGGCGATTTCCAGAAATGTTGTGAGAAAATTTTGTCGGTCTTCGGGCAAAGAGAGATGACTTGGCTCGTGTGGCTATAACAGCAGCTGTGGGAAGTATGTCTTGCACGGCAGACTCATCTTGATATGCGACATCCAAGAATTGACATAGACCTTCGAACTCTTCCTCAAAGTAGGGCGTGATGAGCATGCTGTCTTCTCCAATACCCTGCTCGAGCTCTTGGATTGCAGCATTGAGTGCGGTGACGAGCTCTCCAGCATCTGCCTGATCTCTTCGAACTAGGTCCAGGGAACTGGCGATACGTTCGCGAATCTGAATCATTTCATCTAAACGAAGAGTTGACTGCCACATAATGGCATCAAATCTGTCGGCCAAAGCCTCTAGTTCAAGAATAGCTGCCAACTGTTGCTGATCCATTGGTGTTGATGGCTTGAACACGTGCCAGATGCGTTCCATGCCTAATCCTGTTGTCAACTGGACATCGGCCCCAAAGGCACCAACTTGCTTGGAGAGAGTCGCGGAGAGTGTCTGGATCACAGGGATCGATGAATCGGACTTGGGAATCGCAGACGCTAACATCTTGAGATATGTCTGGAACGTTGCGCGATCGAAGGTTGGAGCAGTGGCAAGTTCATGGAAAGCCCAAAACATTCTCCTCAGTGGCTTGAGGAATGCAAGGTCAAGTTGCTGGTCTTCTTGAAGTGTTCTCCAAAATTCATCGATGAGCTTTATCAGCCCTTGGCTATAAGCATGCAAGAAAGCAGGCAGCTTTTGCTTTTCCTTTCGCCGTTCGAATCGCGCAGATGGTAGCTCTTGAACAGCTTTCTGCATGTTGTATAGGTCAAGCATGACCTCATAAATCGATGCACTAGTTATGCTTAAGGCCTTGGATACTTCCGTTTGATTGACAAAGAGCTCGTTCAGCAAAGGATGGAACGGAAGTAGCTGCACGAGTGTACCAGTAGCAAGTTGTCCTGATAGCGGCCGTGAACGCGGCCCCCATGTACTTGTAAGGAAATGCACAAGATGTGAAATTTTATCTCCCAGTAGAGCTGCCGGCTTAGCAAGGTGCAATTGCATGTTGTTGTTGCTGGCAACGCCATTCGTTTGATTTAATGCATCAGACACGAGCCCTTGTCGAACCTGACTTGTAAAGCTCTTTAGCAATTCGTTATCTTGCACAGTCAAACTCTCAAAATGCTGTTGAAGAGTTGTAGAGAGGTGGTCCTGATGATCTTGGAAGCCGCGGAAGCGATAGCTAGTTGAGTCGAGGGCGTACTGTATGACCGGTTTATACACCACCTTCTTGTCTTGATCTGGCTCAAGCAGACATATCTCAACTGCTCTGTTGCGCATAGCTCTGGAAAGTTCACCGTACTTTGGATCCATGGTCATGAAGATGCGAAAGTTGGGATGTGGTCGCACTATGCGCGCCTCCCCGTCGGAAGTCGAATGTTCGTTTATAGAAAGATAGCCGTTCGGTTCCAGTAAAGAGTTCAGTCGATCGAGAACAGCACTTGAGCAGAGATTCGCGTTGTCAAGGACCAGCCATTTACCTTGCTCGAGTGCTCGAATGAGAATACCATCAACCCATTGGAAACGAGCGCCATCAATCTGCTCGCTTGAAGCTTGAAGTGAGCTTTGTAAGTTTTGAGCCAGCGCAAGTCCTTCAACATCGATAGTTGAAAGTAGGTCTAGGATTGGGCGCAAGTTTCCAGCAAGATGCATAATAGAACCTGCTTGGATCAATTCCAAGAGTTCTATGTAGGCTGATTGAGGCTGCTCAGAGGCTGTAATGTGTCTTCGGACCATTGCCTCGATCTTCTGGAGGCATTGATGTACTTCTCGCATAGGGTCGACCTGCTCATACCCACCAACAAGATCCATCGCATCTACATCTGCATTCATGGAGAAAGTAACAAGGTCAGTACCAACATAACTTGCTAGCTGGTTAATCATGGCGGTTTTGCCTGACCCTGGTGGACCAACGATGATGACTGGCCAGTTTTGCTTGACACTGACCACGAGAGCTTCCATGGGTCCGAGCTGAGAAATATGAAGTGGTGACACGGCATCTGAACGGGTGACCGCGACATCTCGAGGAAGCAGGCCAAGGCCTATTTGAATGGCGCTCTGAGTCAAGTTGTGGAAGAGGCTCATTCGAGAGTCATGAGCACCATATTGACTTTCAAATAACTTGAGAAGCCGACTCCGGTCGCTTTCCACTCGAAATCGTTGCATAAAAATAACGTCTAGGAAGTCTCGTGCTGAACCGGGAAAGTCAGTCCTAGCTAGGAGCTGAAGCCAGCGCAGCGTATCTCGTAGATTGAATTCCCACGGTGCACCAAGATTTCCGAAAGCGCGATGATTGACTACTTGCTCATCCAACTCAGCCACAAAGCGGATTAGTTTAGTGACTTCTTGCTTTTCGATGGATGGGAAGATCTTTTCGCAGATGAGGATCAGGTCTTCTGGTCGGAAGACATCTGCGTACACCACTGTGAATCGGTTGACGAAAGAAGCAGGCAGACCTTTACGGCCGCCACCTTGGTGATGAGGGTTCTGTGCTGCAAAGACCCTGAAATCCGGATGCTTGTGGAATGTCTGGTCCAACTCGGAGATGTATACCTCACCACGATGATCAAGTACAGCATTGAGACCTTCAAGTACCGACTGAGATGCCAGATTCATTTCATCAAGTAAGACCCAATCGCCACTTTTCATGGCTTTGAGGAATGGTGCATCACGCCAGGCGAATGTTCCTGAAGCTCCGCCCTCTACTGGCACGTCGGAACCAAACAGATCCATTAAATCTGTCTGCTCGGATAGATTCAGTCTTGTCAATGGCTTGCCAATAGCTTTCGCAAGAGCGGTCACGAGCGTAGTTTTACCCACACCAGGATTTCCTTCCAATAAGATTGGTTTCGGTAATTGGAGTGCGCGTACGACTCGCATCGCGTTGGACTGTGTAGTTGGAGCTTCAAGCGCAAAGGTAGATGCTTGCGACGATGCTAATGAGAACTTTGGAATAGAGAAGGCACCTAGTTGGAAGATTTCGTCCGTGTTCACGATGTCAATAGGACCGTAGTACATGGACGTGACGTCCGTTCCCAGTAGTTTGCTAAGATGATCGAGGCATGCATTCTTCTCCGCATTAATTGTTGATGCGGGGATTGCGAGAAGTCCTGCAGGATTGGCACCAAGAGTGTCAATAAAAACCATCGCAGCGCCATGTACAATACTGAAAATCGGGTCGTGATGAGCAGAGTTATTGACAAACGAAACCCATGCCAAAGTATCACGAATGGATATGGAGGATGCGACCGAGGTGTTGTACTTGTCGTTGAACCATTGCGAGAATGATACAATGACACCGGCATGATTCACAAGTTCCGGCTTCAGCTTTGACCGTACAATCTCTAAGATGTCATCGAGGTCAGACATTGCCGGAACCCAAATCTCAGTAAAGCGGTTGCGAAGCGCCGGCGAGAGCTCTTTCTTGCCGTAATCTCCACCTGGGTTCATAGTCGCAAGGAATTGGAAGCCGTCGTTTGCTGTGATCAAAGAGTCTATAGGCCCCTTCTCGGCAAGTAGGATAGTGCGAGATGGTTCCAAAACACTGTTCAAGCGTTCAAGAACAGAATCATCAGCCAAGGAAATTTCATCTAGAAGGAAGTAATGACCTTGCTTCATCGCATGTACCAAGCCGCCATCCGACCATTCGAACAATGATCCTGCTTTGACTCGGTGGACTTGTATATCGTTTCGAGTCTCAGCTGGTACGGAATCAGGGTGACTCTTGACAACACTGTCATACAGCGACAACAGGTCCTCGTATCCCAGTGAGTGTAGGTCATATTGGAGGCTCTCTCTGGGGACATTGGAAAGGCTTTCCAACACTTTCTCCTTGACCGATTCTTCAATGGCGGCTCGATTTCGGATGGGTCGCTGCGCACCGATCAAGTCACCCGTCTCGGTGTTCTGATGAGCGTTAATAACGTGAAGCTGGTTATTGAACTGATCTGCAAGTAGCTGGCAGACTGTCGTCTTTCCACATCCGGTTTCTCCGATGAGCAAGACAGGCTCCTTGTTGCGAAGCGCATAAGCAACAAGAACGGACAACCTGCGCATCGCGCGAGTCCACACCACATCGCTGTTGGCAGTCGAGACTCCCTTGCCGAGGCCCTCGATATTTGACAGGCTATCCACACTGAATAGCTGGTCTTCGTCAATTGTCACTTTGGGGCCCCTCTCGCTCATCACAGTCTCCAAGATCTTCTTCACTGCGACACGTTCTTCTTCTTTACGGACGCGTTCAGCAAGCAGCATGTATCCGTTATTCGCAAGGTCTTGAATTGTGTCTGCTTTTCGTTGGGCCCATCTGAACAAGTCTCGAAGCGTTGCGAAACTCTTTTGCTCAAAAATACGATTCTCTTGCCGAAGGGTAGACAATTCCCGGTAAACCTTGACGATGCGTTTGCACCATGTCTCAGGAATCATGGTACGGCGATGCAAGATTTCAGTAAGCTCTTCCACGGGTATGTCGTCGAAATGCAATTCCAGAAAACGGTTGCGGAAAGCGCGTGATAACACCTTACGCCCACCGTAAAGGCCTGCTGGATTTTGTGTAGCGAACAACATGAAGTCTTCGTGGGGCCGAACGATTTCCTGCGTTTCTGGAATCAGCAGCTCACGATTGTCATCAAGAAGACGATTGAGTGCCTCGAGAACATCGGTAGGTGCCAGATTAAGTTCGTCAAGCACAATCCAGTGACCCTCCCGTAAAGCTCGTACAAGGATGCCCTCCTGAAAGATGAGCTTACCATCGGCTCCAGAAATGTAAGAACCGAGATATTCCTGGAGGTCGGTATGTTCGTGATTGTTGATGCGAACAAACTTGTTGCCAGACCTTTTGGCCAAGTACTCGATCATACTTGTTTTACCTGAAGAAGTAGGGCCTTGTATCAGTACTGGATACTTCCGCGTCGAAGCCGCTCGAATGAGATTGTTCATGTTTCGCTGTACAAATGGCGTGATGATGTAATGAGATTGTTCTTCGACTTGATGTACACCTTGACGAAGCCAGTAATGGCCCTGCTTCACGTACCCCCGGCCATCTGACGGCTGCTGGAGTGGCTTGCCGAGTTCAGCCTTCATTGATGCTTTCTGAGGGAACAGATACTTGGTAATGAGAGGGGCGACCAAATCTTCTGAAGCCTTGCCTAAGAACGTCAAGAAACTCATATGAAATCCTTCATATAGCGCTCGTCGGATACTGCATAGTGGCGAGATATCTCGGGCGTATGACAGGGTTCGTGTTAGGGTTCGCAGACTGAAATGAGCTTTCTGGTCTGCACCATCCACGAGCATATTTGCTTTGGCATACTTCTGGATTTCAAGGTATAGACTGGTAACGTCCCGCGCAACTCGAACGATTGCCGGGTCAGTGCCATCGCCACCTAGGTACTTCTCTACAATGTTGCGTAAACTCTTCTCGTCACTGTCCGGACTCTCAACGTATAGCTCGGTGAATCTCGACCGGATACCTGGTGGTAGATCTTTCTTGCCTACATCTGTTGCCGGGTTCATAGCTGCGAACACCCTGAAGTTCGGATGCGCGACTACTCGCTCAACATTGCCAGTCTCGGTCAAAAGAATGGACGGATTACCATCTGGGCCGCCACCCAAGAGATCCGTCAGCGCCTCTAGAGTGTCTGAAGATGCCAAGTTGATTTCATCCAGGAGTACCCAATCGCCATTCCTCACCGCTTTGACGATGTTACCCTCCAGAAAAGAGAATGCGAATGCTTCGGCGCCACTAGCGAGCTGGGCCTCGAGGTTTTGTAGATCAGTTGCGAACTTTTCCCATCGCGCAGTGGGGAAGTTTGCCGGCAAAGTGTCAGTCTTCCGCTTCTTCTTAGGCTGGCCACCCTCAGGATCTGGGGATGAAGTATGCGACTCGTGCTTTTTTCTGGCTGCATCAACCATCTTCAATGCCTCGCGCCAAAGTGCGCAAACACGGTTCCATTCGCCCTTTGCTACACGCTTGCCCAACATCTCGAGAAACCGTAAGTTCTTCTTTCTCGAAAAGGTGGTGTCAAAGATCTCATCGAATTCATCTTTAAGCGGGATCACGAGACTGCGGACATTCACCGGCTTGAAGCCACCAAGCAGGTCTCCGCTTTCACTTTGCTGAGACAAGTTGAACGCCACCAGCTTGCGGCCGAGCTGCTCTGCCAGATACTGGATGCAGGTTGTCTTTCCAGTACCGGTCTCACCAACGAGAAGAAGTGGCTCTTGACGACCAACTGCCACAGCAACCTTTTCCAGTAAACGCAATGTATAGTCGTTAGTGGAGAATGGCCGTCCTGTGCCTGCCTTTTTCGATGATTTATGTTTGGACAACCTAGCGCGGCCTATTTGGATGGTGCCAGAAGATGTTGACTTGGAGGGCAAATGCAGTTTGACCTCTCGGTTTCTCAATAGATGATCGCGTCGCTGTGGATCGATGTGCAGCTCTTCAGCCACGCAGTCCATTACCATCTGACGTGCTATTTCGCTGCGTAGGCTTCCTGCAAAACAATCAAAGGCCTCCATAAAAATGTCGTCTTTCTGCGCGTCGCTAAACGTGGCTTGTTCGAGCAGTATTGATATCCGATCGCACCATTTCAGAAGGTCTCTTGGAGTCAAGGCACGAAGCGAAGTTCCATTCTCAGATGAGAATTTCGCGTCCGAGTAGAGGTTTAGAAGTCGAGAGTAGACCTGCATAATACCGGGCAGGTGCTTTTGCAATATCGGATACTTCTCGTGTATTATGTGGTTGAACTCATCCAGTTGGGGCATTCGAACTGTGATGAAGTTCCAAAATCGGTGGCCTATCATGTTTTGACGGGGTACAATCTCCTGGCCCCGTGGATTGAGAGTACTCCGCATTGTTGCAATAATCCGGAATCCTCGTGCTGCTCGTATGGTTTCCCCTCGGCTAGGAATGAGCAGTTCACCGCGCTCTATTAGTGGCAAAAGTGTACTGATGACTTCGTTTGGTGCTCGATCCAAGTCTTCAATGAAGATCCATCTCCCCTCTCGGACAGCTGTAGTCAAAACACCTGCTCGCCAGCTGAACGTCCCCGGCTTTGTACCGGTAGTGTACATTCCAATCAAAAGCTTCGCATCACTTTGCTCGTTGAGGTGCAGAGTAACCATTTTTTCTAGCTTATTCAACTGCCAGGCGAAGTGACGGGTAAGGAGTGTCTTTCCAGATCCGGCAAGACCAGTGAGCAAGATCGGACTTGAATGAAGGAGACCATGGGCGATATCCTTCAGATTGGCTTTTGTGGTGGCAGTGAATACAAGCTCAGAAGGCATTTCCTGCGAAGGATGTCCGTCTAACCGGGGCAAAAGGACGCCACTAACGTTGACCGTGTAGGGCGACAGTTCTTGATCCGTAGATACAGAATAGTCCGTGGTGCTCTCACTTTGCTGATGCATATTCAATAGCAAATCTTTCCATCTCTTTTCTTCCCATAATGATAAGAACCGGTAGTCGATTTGACGTCCTTCCCAGAATCCGTTAATATCTCCGTCTCCCACTACTCCTTTAATCCGCTCTTGTGTCGCATAATCTGCCGCATGAACATACAAGCAGAATACTCGCACAGCCAGATACCGTACGACTCGATCTTGGTGGCGAAATAGACTCTCCACAACACGGGGCCGTACATAGTGAGAGAAAGTTTTGCAATCGTAGCTGAGAAGTCGGAAAGTTCCAAGCAGCACTTCGACCAAATCCGAATCGCGCAGAGTGAGCGTCTGCGCTTCTGAAAACTTTGCATCCTGAGTGCCAATTATGGACGAATTCGAATTGTTGTCCAAAAAACGTTCCACGTGCTCGGCAAGGTGAGGCGCAAGTGCTAGAATTCGTCCAAAAGCCGCCACTTTGGCCTCTGTGTCGGCACCAGACTGGATCCAGCGCGCACACAGCTCTGTGAATAATAATCCACCATGTTGAACGAGAATATCGTCCGTCGAACCAGGCTTCAGCGCTTCCGTGGCAAGCGCAGTGATGTTTACCATTTTACCAGTGTTGCATGATTTCGTTCTGTCCATGTCTGTAGGGACTGTCGGGGCGCCTACCCATAGTTTTGACGCTTCAATAGAACAGAAAAGGTGGTGTTGAGCAAGCAGCACGCGTGTGTCTGGAAGTTCTCTAACTTTTTTGCGGGTCTCTGATTTCGCCAAGGCGCTAGCCCAATTCGTCATAATCCGCTCCGCAAAATCTCATGATGGCGAGACGACTACAGTACGACGTTCACCTATCATCGATCCTTGCGTCCCTCGGCAGCACACAATGGCAGCACCAGCATCCCGCGCGCTCAGGCGCTGTATCTGTACCGCTAAGCAGACCGCATATGTACGACCGACGATTGGAGCCACACAGCAGAGGATACAGCGGAGATGGCAATCAGATGCGGCTGCGCCCACAAACCCCAAGATTGCGACCATTGTCGACCAGATTAGCCAATTGACTCTGTTGGAGACTGCGGATCTCGTGTCAACATTGAAGGTACGGAAAACCGCGAATGAGGCAGAGAATAGCAATTGAAGGCTTGTGGAACACCATATTTCTTCTTCAACAAACAACGGCGTTTGAAGAGGGGAAAAATATTATGTGAAAGAGACGGGCAGACTGTATACCGCTAGAATTGCTTGTTAAATCGCTCTTCAATATCACAATGGCTGTATTACCGCACTGACACCACCCACAGACTCGCCTAAATATCCCCGACATGCCCATGGGCGGCTTTGTTGCTGGCCCAGGAAGTGCTGGACCCGCCGCTGCAGCTGCCCCTGCCGAGGAGGAGGAAGCCGCCCCCGCTGCCCAAGAAAAGACGCTTTTCAACCTTAAGCTTGAGAAGTTCGACCCAGCCGCAAAACCTAAGGTGATCAAGGAAGTCAAGGCCATGCTTGGCCTCAGTCTGGTCGACAGCAAGAAGTTTGTCGAGAGTGCGCCAAAGGTGTTGAAGGAGGGTGTCCCCAAGGAGGAGGCAGAGAAGATCGTCGAGACGCTCAAGGCACTCGGCGCCACTGTTGTTCTGGAGTAGAAGAATACATCTGGAAGGAAAGGATGATGGTCGGGGACAAGAGACGGACACTGTATCATAGCATTGCACAACGGGCGTGTACAGATATGTTTGGAATGATCGTAGATGTATTTGGAATACCTCAAAACTCCAATAACAGTTGGGCGTCATGAGACAGCCCGTGGTATCTTTCCACCATAACGCCTGTACTATGCTGTGATGAAGACCCGTATCTGACCCGTAAACGCCTTCCAGTCACTCATCCTATGATGCCCCGCAACTCCAATCCGCAGGGGCTTTTGTGTAATTACCCTTCAGTGTCGCTTCCAGCAGTGCCTCTCACTTTTCGAACGCACTCTCCTCATCTTAGTCTGGATCTTATCCGTACGCAATCACTTTCCTCCTCTCCTCCGCGTCTTCCCGCGCAGTCACATAATCATCCTCATTAACATCACTCGCCTCCTCCCACAGTTTCTCAAACTCTTCATACCCCTCCCCAGGAACAGCCCAAATACTCTCTCTCAGCCTCTTATGCCGCTCCCTGTCCTCTTCAATCCTCTGCTCAATCTGGCGCTTATCCATGCGCTGCCCCCCATTCTTGCCAGTCCCAGCCGCAGGACTATCTTTACCCTCACCTCCAATATCCATCGCCATGAACGGGTGCGCCACCTCTCTTGACTTGAGCACAGCTTCGAGTTCCTGTACCGTTTCCCGCAGGAGGATATTCAGGTTTTCCAGCGTCTTGAGGACTTTGCGCACAACACGGATGTTTGCGCCTTCTTCGCCTACGACGCACTCAACAACGGCGAGAATGTCGCGCTGAAGCATGCGCACATAGCCCATTGCACTGCTGTCTCCTGCGTTGTTTTCCTTGACCGCGTATTCACACAGACATTCGATGAAGAACATGATGTTCGCACGTATGTTCATGTTATTGCGCTCGAGCTGCTCGAGGATGCAGGAATGCAAGTCTTCGTCCATTTCGCGGTTTTTCAGCGCGTACAGAGCGGCTTTTTGGAGCGATGTGTGGGATGCGCTTAGGTGTGAGAGCAGCGTTGTGAATCGTTGGCGGACTTCGAAGGGATCGGCCATGGTGGGCAAGATGTTGGGTTGACGAGTTAGCACCCGAAGACGAGTTTAGGTATTGGGGTTTCGGGCGGAATCCAGGGGGTGGCGTTGACGGTGAATCAACAGTAGGCCGGTAAACTATCGTCTGGTGTCTGTTGAAGTGGAGAGCTTCCGCAACTGCAACGCGCATATCGTCGGCTTGGTGGTCATAGCTTAAGGTGCATTTAACGTGGGGAAAAGTCGCCGATCTCGCGCTGAATCCCCAGTCAGCACTTCCTTTTGTATTCCCTCAACACCACCCAGGAAACATATTCAAACGGAGAAATTCAAGATGGCGAACACTCAGGAATCCAAGCCTTTAACATTGACCGTTCTCGGTTCAGGTAAGTTGCCTTCTCGATATATATCTTTCTTCGCCCCGCATCGCTCTCATAAGATAAATGACTGGCCATACGACTGTGTCAAGAAGTTGTAACTACCGTCTCACAACACAGTACTCTTCACTTTTCTCTCGAAATCCCCATAAAATCTTCCATCTTCTTCAAGAAACAACTCTGCATGAACAGTCACCCTAGACATCCACCACACCACCAAAGACCAATAACTAACCACCACCCTCAGGAACAATGGGCATAGCAATCATGGGCGGCGTAATGTCCTCCCTCGCCTCCACCCACACAAAAGCCACCATCGACCCCTCCTCCGCCCCAAAAGACGTCCCCAACCTCTCCAACTTCATCGCCTGCGACCAATGGGCCCCCGCCGAACAAAACGTCCGCAAAGCCCTCGGCCACTACAACTTCCCCCTGCAAACCCTCACAAACGAGAACCTCAAGGGCGTCCAACAAGCAGATATCGTCCTGCTGAGCTGCAAGCCCCACGGCTTCAAGACAATTCTCGGTGAGGAAGGCATGAGGGATGCGCTCAAGGGCAAGGTCCTAGTCAGCATATTGGCAGGTGTGACCCGCGAGCAGATCGAGGCATTCTTGTACCCGGATGGCCCAGAGAAGGCAGAAAACGCATGTAGAGTCGTCCGTGTAATGCCCAACACGGCGTCATTTGTCGGCGAATCCATGTCTGTGATTCAGACTTCTGATCCGCCGCTCAGCGAGGCGCAGGCTAAGCTTGTGGAATTCGTATTTAGTTCCATTGGTCGTGTTACTACGCTACCGCCTGCAAACATGGATGTTGCGACTGCGCTGTGCGGGTCTGGACCTGCGTTTTTCGCATTGATGCTGGAGGCGGCGGCGGATGGTGCTGTGGCGATGGGGTTGCCCAGGGCAGAAGCACAGATGATGGCTGCGCAGACTATGAGGGGAACCACAGGTTTGGTGCTGAATGGCGAGCATCCGGCTGTGCTCAAGGATAAGGTGTCTACGCCAGGCGGCTGCACAATCGGCGGTCTGATGTCACTCGAGGAAGACGGTGTCAGAGGCTCTGTTGCAAAGGCTATCCGGGAAGCCACTGTCGTTGCTTCGAGACTAGGTGGTGAGCAAAAGGAATTCGTAAACCACAGGCGGTAAACATGTATCCAATCAATCCCATAGAATCACAAATTAGTAAAATGATACCACAACCCACCAAAGCACACAAGTTGCAAGGTCCTTCTTTCTCTCTCTTTAGGTGGTTTTCATTATTCAGATTCTAAGAAAGAGGACTTGCTGTCCGCCTCATTACAGCATACATGCATGCATCCTCTTAATTTCTCACTCGCCCACCCCCCACACCATAAGCAAGTGACAGAAAAAGGGTATAATACAAAAAGAAAGCAGAGTAGCCATCCCAGATCATCTCTCACCCATGACTTTGATTAATACAATCCCCGGATCCATCTCTCTTTCCCACACCCTAGAATCTGCTGCAGATAGCAACACAGTAAAGTGCAAGGCTATCTCCTTTCTCGTTCCCTCTCCATCATCTCCCTCTCGACATCACCCTCTGTCCTCACGCCTCCACGTCTGGCTTTGGCGTTCTTCCTAAGGCCAGCGGTGAACAGGTTTGCAATGTTGTCGTCGCCGATGGCACCGCTCTTGCGTCTCTTATCGCGGTGGGATGCGGGTCCAGTAGGGGGCTTGACGTCGGCTTTTGGTCCTTTGGGGACAGAAGGCTCGTCATCTAGGTCGTCACGAGAGCGTTTGGTTGAGAGGGTAGGGCGGGAAGATGTCGAGGAGATGCGGGAGTGGAGGGATTTGCTTGGAGGCTTTTCGACGCGGTCGCGGCTGTCGCGCTCTCGAGCGTTGCGCTCCCTCTCAGCGGCGTAGTGGTCTTGTGGAGTTTCCTTTTCTTTTGAGGATGGTCCAGTTGGTGGTGTAGAAACGGAGCTTACGCTGCTCCTTCGGCGGTGGTCTCGAGAGTCGCTGCTGCGGTCCTTGTTGCGATCAGCAGCTGGTCCTTTCGGGGGTTGGAATGCTCGAGGGCCACTAGGTGGTTGGGTAGGTGGCGCCATGGCATTTTTCGAACGGCCTTTGATGCTGAAGCCGTTTGCTGATGGGCCAGTCGGGGCGTTCAGAGGAGGCGAAACGACACGCTTCTTCATCATTTGACCAACAACATCTTCCTCTTTATCATTTGCGGATGGCCTCTCTTTTCGATCGCGGTCATCATCGCGACGTTCGCGATCCCGGTCTTTGCGGCTGCGGCGAGAGGAGCGATACTTGTCGTCCTCATAATCACGCTCATCCTCTTCGGCATCACGGTCACGGCGACGCCTGCGTTCCTTGTCCTTGTCTCGTGAGCGGTCTTTCTCGCGGTCATAGTCATAGTCGCGCTCGCGCTCTTTGCGATCCTTGCGGTCCCGTTCACGTTCCTTGTCGCGGGATCGGTCGCGTGATCTTTCACGATGCCTATCTTTATCACGACTCCTATGCCTGCGTCGCGAGTTGCCATCAGAGTCCTTTTCACCGTTGGGATACGCATCATCATCGTCATACTTGTCCTCATTGCGAGGCGATCGAGAACGGTGGCGGCGTCGATGTTCCCTACTTCGCTCGCGGTGTGACCGTGAGGAGCGGTGCTTATCCTTGTCACGACGGCTGCTGCGATACTTGGAGTCTGCTGAAGCGCTCCGTGTTCTGTCGCCACGGCTACTCCTCTCGTCACGGTACCGGTCATCGTGCTCCTGCTCACGATCGTCGTAACGCGATGAGCGGTGGTGCTTGCGGTCTTTGCGACTGTCATGGTCATCCTCTGACGGCGTCAGTGATCGAGCACGGTCGTCACGTCTAGAGTGGCGATCCGCAGAACGTGATCGCTCACGATGCTCATCTCGGACTTCGTCTCTCGCTCGAGACCGCGACCGGGACCGTGTGGGTGAACGCTCTTTGACGCGCATACTCTCATCCCGCAAAGGGGATTTGCTATATGGTGGTCAGTTATGAAAGCCCCGTGTTGATTGAATGGGTACTTACGATCGAACCCTGCGCTGTGGACTAATCGGTGCAACTTCCTGAGTAGATGCAATACTCTTAGGTGGTGGCGGGGGAGGTGCCTGAGCATACCGACCACTGTTTACACGACTCGAGAATCCAGTGTTGGGCCGACCTTCTCGCATCGCACGTGGTCCGGTGGGTGCGCCTTTGACCCCGACACCAATAGGCTCCGTGGGTTGACCTGTCAAAACTGTCGCCGCACCATAAGCGCCACTATTGAAGCCGCCACGAGGACCGAAATTGCCGTTGTATCCCATGTTCATATTCATGTTCATGTTCATGCTAGGATCGAAGGGTGCGTTCATATGCTGAGCCGGGAACTGGTTCATCATTCCTGCTGCGTATGGCATGCCCATACCATTGCCCATCATTGACTGATCATAATCCTGCATATCTGCACCACCTGTGTCGACAGTTTGGATTGGTTTCAGCCCATCGTCCTGCGCTGGCTCTTTGACACTCTCTCCTGTATCATCAGTACTGTTGGCAGCGGTCTGACTTGCATCAAGACCGGAGCCAGCTCCATTATTCGTCGCCTCAATAGAAACTGCAACAGATTCGCTATTTTCCTTACCTTCTTCAGTTGGCTCTGTGGAAGCCTTGTCCTGCTCGCCTTCGGCCTTGGCCTCAGTAGCAGTGTTGGCGTTTCCATCAGGCGACTGGCCGTCACGCTGCGTAAGAAAATTCGTGTCAGTCGGAGTGTTTGAAGATTTGCCAACCCGATTATTCGAGTTAGGCCGAGAATTTGTGTGGAAAGAACGTACGTTTTCCGAAGGGCCGCCGTGGCTTGTCGGACAGGTATTCGCGCCCTGGAAACCAGGGCCAAAGCCTCCCTGGCTGCCATTCCTGTTGTTTCGTTGGGCATGTGCTCCGCCTTGATTGGCATGGAAACGATTCTGGTTCTGGTTTGGGAAATTATTCTTGGGGAACTGGTTCATCATCTCGGGATATGCTCCAGATTGATTATAGCCACCCATCTGATTGGGCCCGCTGAAGTTTCCATAGCCACCGCCCATTCCATTCCAACCATTACCAAAGCCGCCTCCATACTGCATCATGTTCATGGCTGACATGTCGTTCATGCCCATGTTTCCCCCAAAGTTGCCGTACATGCCGTTCATGCTGTTGAAGTCTGGATGAAAATTAGCAGGTGTTTGTTTGTTGGAATTTTCAGAGATATAACGTACCCATGGGATTCATACCATTCCAATTGCCGTTGGCCATCATGTTAGGCATGCCGTTCCAACCCATGCCGTTGTTGAAGCCACCTTGAGCAGGAAAACCAAAACCCATTTGACCTTGCATATTGTTCATCATGGAATTGGTGCCTGACATGCCATTGACGACGGGGGTGTTGCTTGGCTCTTCCGTCGAGTCGTCCGCTGCTGCGGGCTCCGTGCTTTTCGAGATATTCTGCGATGCTCTAGCCTCAGTAGGAGAGTTGACCTGATCTTGGTTAGTAACCGCGACAGATCGAGTTAAAGACACTTGATGTTCATGTGCATTTGCAGCAACGGGTTTTGCATTCTTCAAGAAATGGATGCTCTTCGCCTTGTTCTCTTGTTTTCCTCTTTCTTTACTGTACGATCCGAATATGCTAACACGCGAACAACAAGATAAACATTGGTTACCTACTTCGTTCGGTTGAGCAGAGGCCGAGCCAGCGCGCTGTACAGCCTCTTCCGCATTCCCCACAGAGCCAGCGGCTTCTTCAGCGACACTATCCTCTGCCTTGGGTGGTTCCTCAATGCTGTCTACAGGCTTGTCTATGTTCTCGCTCACTGGCTGCACTTCGGGCGCGGCTGGTGTCGCCTCAACAGGAGGGGTAGCTGCCTGTGCCGCAGCCTTGGCCTCTTCCTTCTTCTTCTGTTTTTGCAGCCATACGCGCATGGTGTTGCGGAGAGACTTGTTGATCGCACACGAATCTGCCTCGAGCGGCGAATGGTCGCACGACGGACACGTGGTAGGAAACTGGAGATTTGCCTGGCCTGAAAAATGTTAGTGGGCGGCGATTCTGTTATAACTTGGTGATGAATTGTTCATACATGATGAGCAGACTGATTTTGCGCAGCAAATCAGCTTGTATGAGTCAAAAGCTAGCTGATTGCATAGTGCGCAGAAGAAGTTCTTGGGAAAAGCAGAGGTGGGGAGTGAGCTATGGATGTTAGTAACACTGAAGAAGAAAGCAGCAGAGAAGCGCTTACAGAGCGAGGTCCTTCAGCTCATCGGCCAGCGGCGCCGCCTTGGGGTCTGCTGCCGAGTTTGCCATGGTGAGGTTGTGCAAGTTCGCGACTTTGGCTAAGGCTGCCGCGCAAACAACTGAGACTGCCGTCGGGCGCGGGGCTTTATTCCATTAAAAAGATAAGAGGGAAAAGAGGGGACAAGAAAGATGGAACAAGATGATTCCTCGGTGCAGGCACAGGCAAGCAGACGAAGAGGATTGCAGTCGCAGTCGCAGTCGCAGTCGTTGGTGTTTGCCGAGTGACAACTGCGTGCCGCGCGCAAGTTTTCCGGGCGTCGCGATCAACCGCCTGGTCCGTGCCCACAAACTCTAACCGTCGTCACGTGCTCACCGTCTTCCGCATACGGCAGAGTACGTGCACGGTATTCCGTCTTCACCTTCTGACTTGACATTCAGCTCGCATTCTAGCTAACCTGGAAGGGCCTTTCTCACAACCATGACGCGTGTCCTGGTCAGAGAACGAGCATTGAGTTTGAACGGGTGTGGCGCTAATCGGTTGTGGCTTAGCTAGACCCTTGACGGCGTCATCACCATTGTCACTCGACATGGCGCGGACAGACAAAGGAAGCTCACTGACTTCATCTTTATGTATTTCTTGCCAAGATGATCCTGGGCCAGATATCCTACCTGGACTGCATCGCTTTCCTCGTCTTTCTTGCCCCTCAATTGCTAATCCAAATCGGCATCATCCCCCTTTTGACATGGCTTCTCCCCCAACTACCTTTTCTTAGTGAGTACATGCCCTCTTGGTTCTCCAGACGTACTGATTCTCACAGCTTTCAAAGTTATTGTCATACCAATCCAATTCATTCATGAGAGACTCTTTGTCCCTGTTGAACAACGGGCACCATGGGTCAGGAAAGCAACACCATTCCAGGACCTCGTCATCCGCTTTGTCCGCTATGCATTCGCGAACATGCCAGCCTTCCTGGGTAGAGTCTTTTTCTCAAAGCAAGTCTCACTGCCTTTTCTGAGATTCCGCATGTTGCGCCACGGCGTTGTCACCAGTCCCATCAGGTGGACCGACATCAAGCGACCAAATTTTAAAGGCGTATGGATTGTGTATAACCAGCAAGAGCAGCCCGACTTGATTGTTTACTACTGTCACGGCGGTGGTTTCTCCATGGGAAGCAGCTACTTTTACATGGAATTCTTGCTTGCTTGGGTTGCATTGCTCAAAGCCGCAGGGTACCGCAATCCCGCCCTCTTTGCCCTGGAATACACTCTTGTGCCAGACGCCACGTATCCCACCCAACTCCATGAGACCCTGGCCGGATACGAGTATGTTCTTTCCTTGGCTCAGTCCTCGACTCGCATTGTTGTTGGTGGAGATTCGGCTGGCGCAACGTTGATGCTAAGCTTCTTGCTTTATTTGTCTGAGCACACCGAACTTCGACATCAGAAGCCCGGTCTTGCGATTATGATCAGTCCATGGGTCAAAATCATATCGCCCGAGAACAGAAACACCAAGTCGGACTATCTCAACAGCTCCTCTCTGGAACAATATGGACGCCAGTACATTGGGAGCAAAGTCTCTTCCGGCGATGCCATGGTTTCGCCTGGAAATTGCAAAGACATCCAGAAGTGGACGGAGGCTTCACCAGAAAAGGGTTGGTACTTTTTGTACGGCAGCGAGGAGGTGCTAGGGCCAGAAACACGGAATCTCATCGCGTTATTGGAGAAGACGGGGAAGGAGGTGGATACGTGGGAAGAAAGAGGTGGAATACACGCATGGCCCGTTGCTAGTCTCTACCTGGGGGAGACCAAGGAGGCGAGGCTGAGCGGCTTAAAGAGCGTTGTCGGTGCCATCAAGGAAAGGATTCATCAATAGCTTAATATCGATTCGCATGCATGCAGAAAAAGTTGACCACTAATTTTTAATATTGCCCATCACAATCATTTATTTCTTCTAATCCTAACTTTTTATCAATATAAAAAAAAGATCAACTAATAGCAGTATATCTATCTCCCTCTCCCCACACCCTCGTACGGCAACGACAATTGAACCTCAAGCAAATTCTCAGACTCCGGAACCCCCAGTCCCGTCGGTGGATCCCACCCCGGTACAGCCGGGAACCCTTGCGCCCCACACCCAGGATTTACCCCCACTAACAACATCTCTGAAAACCTGAGGGTTACTATGCAGCACGTGGTGAGGAACACCAATAGGTCCCTTCCCAATCTTCCTACGCTCACCGACGATACGCCCGAGCGTCATGCCCATGGGCATAATGGGCTTTGTGTGATTGAAATCAAAGACCCTCCCATGACGGATACCCCGGGCGGGTTGTTTGAGAGCAATCTTGAGCAAAAATCTGCGTGTCTTGATTCAATCTATCTCTCCTCCTCAAATCTGAAGTGCTCATCACGTTCTCCATGCAGAACGTGGTTGTGGGGAGCTCTCCTCGTAGTGTGACTCGAGACGTGCCCAAGAGCAATTATCAACGCGGGCTAGGTTTCAACCCAGAACAATTTTTATAAATGTTCGTAGGCTCTGAGACTAGTCAAGGATGTTGAAAGGTCGATGTGCCATGCATACCAAGACGGGCTTGCATAGTCCTGTGAGGACGGTAAAGATGGAGTGACGAGTTTCTTCGTAAATATACGTAGTGAATAGATACATCGTATGACACAATACAGATGGAGAGATTGACTTATTTATGAGTTTTGGCGAATAGTAGCTATACATGTGTTCGTGTAGTTGGCATTTCTTCGTAGAGATATTGGACAAGAAAGAACAATTTTCAATGGGGGATACAACAGTATGGAGGCCTGGTTAGTATCTCGGTAGATTCCGGGTGCAGGAGCGCACCTAGCCTCATCAGTGCATAGAGTTGTGTGTCCAAGAATTAATCTGAGTAAGACCCTATTAAGGACGCTGTATATTTAAGGCATTTGATATCTAAGTACAATAAAGGGCAGCTAACTGCATTTGAGAAACCAAGTCGAGAATCATCGCGCTTGTTGTGTAGTCCAGCCATTAAGATCAAACCGATCGTTGGTGTAGTGTTGAAGCTCGAGATGGAAGCCCAGCTCGTTGCCTGCTCGCTGTAAACCCAATGCCTTGGCGGCCTTTTGGGCGACATCTAGGATAGGGTCGAAGCCGTTGTCTTGCATTGCTAAATTGTCGCTTGTGAGCAGATCGGAGGCAGCGTGGCGGGGCTTTGATGGAGCGGTGATGGGAGCGGTCAGCACTGGCGTTCTGGAAGCGGCCGGCGTTGCGAGCTGATAGTATGTGATTGGTTGAACCACAACCACGGAGATATCTCCGTCATCGTCCGTACGCAGTGTAGCACTACCGTATATATGATGAACAACAATACATTGAAGAAAGCACTTATGGAATGTTCAAAGGTACGTTCCAAGTAATTCAAATGTGAATTCACTGCATGACGGGGAGAAAATGGTATGAGCAGGAAGGAAGACTAGACTCACGGGTAGGTAACGTCTTCGTGAACAGTTTGTGCAGCCATTTTGGTTGGAGTCAAGGATGTGATACGAGGATTTCCGTGGATGGTAGAGCAAGTGGTAAGCAAATCGTGTATGAGCTTTATAAGGATATGTAAGTTTGAACAGGAAAATGGACGTGTACTTATACTGCTCCAGAGCAGGCATCGTGTGGGCTGAGACTACACTGTGAACACGCGTTGAGATATTCGTGAGAAAGACCAATAGTAGAGCTGGTTGCAAGCCAAATCTTCCCTCCATCGCATCCATGGGGCTCCGTGGCTACCTCTACGAATGTCTTGAAAAACGTGCGAGGACCCACTCTAACGTGGTGATACAAAAGACATTCGAGTACATTTGCATGCTTCCGAAGACTTGTCGCGAGGCTCGCGCAATCAATGGGGGCTTGTGAATGGTCAATGAAAGCGGTATCCTTGTTGAACGGTAGCTTGTTGCAAGTTCTAAAACGCGCCGGTCCAATCGTTGGTGTTCCCTGTTCTTTATATTTCGGTAGCGTGGGACCCGCCGGCCAGCCTCCAAAGTTCAGTGGCGTTTCTTTAGTCCTTGGTTGCCTTATTTGCCTACTTGTATGATCTGTTGCCTGATTGCCTGGTGGCTTTCCTGCTGGCGTACCTGGAACCCCACCATACAAGCAAACAGAATATAAAAGCACATATCCCCACCCCCGCAAGTTCAATGTCGCACACATAACTAATAACTAGCGAGTATCTCGTAGCAATTGCTCGCCTTCTTTTGTCCTTCTCCATCGAGCTCAGCGCCTCACGTTCACAGTGCGCATACCTGGGCTGCTCTTTTTTTCCTGATGGCGACCAGCTCGCCCGGATTACCGTTGCCGGACCTATTTTCTTCCACCTTGAACACAGCCGGGACCTCGAGAGCCCAAGCCTGACAATACTGCGGATCGCGGTGTTAACAATGCCATCGGTGCACTGATCGACTCTCATATGCTATCCAAGACATCGCATTAGCTGTTCGGCACACCAGCCTTGGTTCCAAAGTTGCTGAAAGCCTTGCAATGTCGTATATGGCTTATATGGGGGTTATTTATTCCTAAAATGATCAGATCAAGGCTTGGAGTCGTTCTTGTGGCAGCGATACCAAGGGCAAAGACACGCGCAGCATGCGCGGGCTGAATTTCCAACGAAGTGGATGTCACTGGCCTGTCTATAGGGCATGTTGAAACAGCATTATCGTTTACGCAAGCAGGCCACATGGCGGGACACATCAGGGTCGGGTTTTCTATGGTTTAGACCAGTTTTTCGATCACAGCCCAAAAACCAAATCTTTGTGGCAATGTGAAAGGAAACTCATCAGAACCATATAACAACACCACCCTCTTCCTTCAACAAAACCGCTTACCCGACCACCCCACCCTGAAGCTTCTTTCCCTCCTCTCAATACTCTACGCTACGCCTACCGCACTCCTACTTCAACACGGAGAAGCACCTTTGCCCGGACCTGGAAGAAGGCGCTCTGGTCAATAGACAGGCATACCCTAGCTGCTGTAGCCTTCCTGCGGGTACTGGGGCTTCCTGGCTTCCTGCTTGTGTCCAGCTGGCTGCAGACTCCTGGTGGGAAAATCATGCAATGTAAGTACAGAATGCAGTACGTGAGCTATGGTTTTAAAAAGATGCTAATTTCTTGAATCAGCCTTTCTGCTGCTAAGGCGGTGATTGAAAGAATTCGTCTGCCAAAAAAGATACCGGCTGATAAACGTTGTACTGCGACTCTGGATCAATATCTCAGAAACTAACTTTTTGGTGCGAAAGTTGCAATGTTTGTCCTCTGGTGTAGTAGCAAATAATGCGGCTGCGGGTGTAAATTGACATTTCTGTTTCGGCACAAAGTCTTCCCTCTTCAATCAATCCTGCTTCCGCGATGATTCTTTTCCAGCTATTACTCTTTCAATCACAGGTCTCGCCTTATAATTTTTGGGAGCACGCTATCTTATCGTATCACAACATGCAATGCAGCATTTCCAAACATGAGTTCGAATACATTTTTACAGGACCCTAATTTCCCATAAAAAAACCATCGCAACCCCGAACCCAAACACCTCAACTGGCCACTTCCACCGACCAAACTACTCCAGCCCTCATCTAGGCCGCACCTCCACTTTCAGCGCCCTCTTCTCCCAAAACATATAATTATTCTGCAACCCAAAATCACCAACCTGCCCAATTGCCTCTAGATCGAACTTGAAAAACAGCCGCGCCAACGTCACCCGCATGATTGCCCAAGCAAGCTTCTGACCTATGCACTTATGGCGTCCGAGCAGGAACGGAACAAAGGCATCCATACGATCAGACGGATATGGCGAGTTAGTTAGAAAGCGTTCAGGCACGAAGAGATCCGGGTCGGTGAAGTTGAGGGCGGAACGAAAGGTTGGGTATTGGTTCACTGAGACGAATGTCTACGCTGCATTAGCGATTGGGTTTCCAAATGATGTTGTTGGGAGGACTTACGTTACCTGGTACATATTGACCAGAGATAATCTCGCCTTCATTTGGTGTGATGCGAGGAAGACCCACAGCTACTGGGGGACCCATTCGGATGCCCTCTTGGATCACGGCATCGAGGTAGTCCAGCTTGCCCACATTGGCGATGGTGATATCTTCTTCGCTCGAGAAATTCTGGCGAATCTCTGTTACGACTTTCGTCAACGCAGCAGAGTTTTGCAAAAGCTGAGTCAGTATTGCTGTAAGAGAAGTACTCGTCGTCTCGCTCCCCGCAAAAATAAGCACCGTCATGTTCGTTTCGATCTCGTCATCGGGGATCTTGGTCTCTCCCTTCTCTTGATTATACGCTAGTATCGAACCCACGTAGTCCTGTGCCTTGTCCTTATGCTTCATAGCGAGCCGCTGCATGAACTTCGCATGAGCTAGTTCCTTGTGATATGTCATCTTTTCCATGATCGCCCTCGGCATAGCAAGCTTCAGCAGTTTATTCAAGGGTCGAAAGAAATTGATGGAAGCCATGAGCGCAATTCCCTTACCGAAACTGCAGCTTATTTCGACCCAGGGGTGTGCACGCGCGGCTGCTACGCTTCCGAAGGATTCGCCAAAGGAGAGGAGGCCCGAGATGTCGAAGGTTAGCCAGTTGAACCAATCTGTGAAGTTTACGATAGCGGAGCCGGAGCCTTGCTTAGTTGCTTCGCTGAGTTTCTGCATCATGGTGTCAACAAGGCCTTCGAGCAAAGGTGCATGTTCGATGATTGCATGCTCGGTGAATGCTCCAGCAAGTGCTCTGCGGTTTCGCAAATGCGTTGCTTCATCCGTACTGACAATGCTAATAGGACGATGTTCTTCTTCTTGGCCCGCCCACACACGGTTCTTTGGGATGTTGCGGTTACCGTAGATGTCCTTCCAGGCTTCGGGATCGATATAAGACAGCTCATCAGGAGCGACTCGCACCACTGGGCCGTATTGCTCGTGGAATTGGGCGAGTTTGAGGTGGTACATCCCCGATTGCAAGGAATGGGACCAGGCAAGGCGAGTGGCAGCCCACCATCTTGGTCCGGGGTAGTGTCGGAGGGGGTGTAGGAAGATGTTATAGAGTATCTTGAACAATATCTAGGAGAAGTAAGTATAAGGTTTCCCTACTCAGACAATTGCTGGAGTTTGATAAACGTACTAATGAGGTTGCACCAATTGCACCAAACACGAGCATATTCAGAATGTGACTCATTGTATAGAATTGTCTTCATTACGGGCAAGAGGTAAGTCGAGAGGCTGAATTTAAGTAAATTTATATCAAACTCGTTGATTCGGCTACCCGCTCTTCGGGCTCTCGGTGTCTCGCTCCCAAGGCTGAGGATGATGTCACACCATTCTAGACGGAAAATGGGTTCCGTCAGGCGCGACGACTATCATGATTCGATGGCATATTTTTGACCTGTATATATTTCCAAGGAATGTCAGTTCAAATACACTAGACGCACATGAAGTGAAATGGGAGAAGAAAAATGTGCTGGAAACCGGGGTAGACACGTTACTTGCTTACATAACGACGCTCGGCAATCCAGTGGTGTTGATAGTCATATGGAGCATTGTGACTCTTATGTGACTCTTCCTATCCTGAGATAGCATTTTCATCCAGTTGAGGATCTATAAAGGTGGCAACACAATACCATCTCAGGACTCAAGGCTCTTCTTCCATTGTCGCTTCCTCTCGCCTCAGTTCTATACTACTTAGCGCAGATGGATCGCTCAGCATTCTTTGCTCATGACTCGGTCGCGTATATTTGGCAACAGCTTGGTCTACCAGAGAATGCTTTAAAGTCACTCGAACTGCCGGTTGATGCCAAATGTCTTCCGTCTTCTTTCAAAGTAGATATCCTTGCACAGTCAGCCATCGCCGTATCTGCACTCGCAGCAGCTCTCTACTCGTCCGTCCGACATACAACCGAATTACCACACATAACCGTCCCAGCTGAGCATGCATGCGTAGAGTTCAAGTCCGAAAGACTCTATACACTCGATGGAAAAATTGCATCTCCGCCGTGGGGCACGATTGGTGGATTACACAAAGCTTCCGACGGATATGTAAGAATACATGACTCGTTTCCGAACACACGGTGGAACGCATTGCAGATCCTAGGGCTAGGCCTTGGTTCTTCCAAAGATGATGTTGGAGAAGAGGTCATAAAATGGAGGGCTGTCCAGTTAGAAGATGAAGCTTTTCGGCGTGGAGCTGTCATAGCTGCACTGCGATCCTTTGAAGAATGGGATGTACTACCACAAGCCAAAGCGATTGCGGACTTTCCGATCCTTATGACGAAGGCTTCTTGTGTCACGCCTTATATACCACCAATCCCATCCACAGTTGAAGACAATAAGTGTCTACGAGGCATACGCGTGGTTGAGATGAGTCGAGTCATAGCTGCGCCTGTTGCAGGCAAGACACTAGCCGCACACGGGGCGGACGTAATCTGGATTACATCGCCATCTTTACCTGCTCTTCCAGATCTGGATATTGATCTATCACGCGGAAAACGTACAGTACAGCTCGATATCGAGAAGAGTGACGACAAATCAAGGCTCTTAGATCTGCTTTCCACAGCCGATGTTTTCATTCAGAGCTATCGTCCCGGGAGTCTTGCCTCAAAAGGATTCTCTGCAGAGGAACTTCACAAAAAAAATCCCAGATTGATTGTAGCAAGTCTAGATGCTTATGGCCCCAATGGCCCTTGGAGTCAGAATCGCGGTTTTGATTCGCTGGTTCAAACTTGCTCCGGTATCAATGTTGCGGAAGCACAAAGGTATGGTGGTGGTGAGTCCGCACATGTGTTACCTTGTCAAGCTTTGGACCACGGTGCGGGTTACCTCCTAGCGACTGGTGTCATGGCGGCACTGTACAAGCGTGCCACCGAAGGAGATGTATATGAGGTGAAGGTATCATTGGCTGGTGTCATGAAGTATTTACGATCTTTAGGGCGCTATGAAGGTAAGAGCGGGTTTGATCGCAAAGACTTCAAGAACCCGCAAGACGTCGAGGAATACCTGGAGTCTAGAGAGACAGGCTTTGGTATGTTGAGAGCCGTCATACACTCAGCGAAGATTGAGAATGTCGAAGTTGGTTGGGAAACCATGCCTAAACCCCTAGGCAGTGACGCTCCTGTCTGGCTCGACCATGCTTATAGATACTGAGTGTATTGTCGGGGCTCGTTCGGCCGCTTATTCTTGATCTTTTCAGTCGTTGAATATCGCGTAAAACATAATCTTTGTTTCCAGAATCGAACACAGACCAGCTGTTCGCGTGTCCAGAGACCACAAATGCACCTACCATGGGGCAATTGACGTCATGCCCATCACGTACCTGCATTAGTCCTTGCATGTCTCAACGCTTTCCATCGCGTCACCATCCTTTGTCTTTAACGTCGAATTCACTGTTTCAACTTCTTGTACTTAATCGCGCAGCAATATCAAATCTGAAACAACACAATGGCAGAAGTAGCAGCAGGCGCGTGGGTAGCAGCAGAAGTTGTCGAACATACAGCAGAAGCAGGCTACGCAGCCTATCTGGTATCCAAGCCAACACTACCTCTCAAGGTGACATTCACACGCATAGCTACAGCAACAGGCGACCCAACAGCGTATGTACTTCGACCACTCATTTCACACAGTAAGGCTGACCTACAGACGCTCCTTGGCTCGCTCCAACCACACAGTTACAGTGATTGGTAACAAAGCCTACATTTTCGGTGGCGACACTGCGAGTAATGTTCTTGCAAGTAACGATGTCCATGTGGTTACTCTCGAGCGGTCTGGCAAGCCTGAAATGGATTATAGTATGATTCCCGCATTGCCAACATCCGAGAACAAGCAAACACCCCCAGCAAGATCCAACCACGCAGCATGTGCTTTCCATGGAAACATTGCCGTCTACGGCGGCAGTGATTCAAACGGGACTCTTGTTGATGAAAAATCTTCCCTATGGCTTTTCAGTCCTGAAAGAAAGACCTGGGATATCCTCGAACCGTCCAAGGGAGATGTCGATACCGGTGCCATTGGCCCGGGACCACGTCAGAATGCGCAATTATTCGCACATGATAAACATGTGATACTCTTTGGTGGAATTGATGGCTCAGGCGATCACGCATCAGATCTCTGGCAGTTCGATATTGCAGCCCGTTACTGGACACAGCTCCCTACTGCACCGGTTGCAACATCAAACGCGTCGCTGGCAAACGGACAGCTATGGCTGATATCTGGAAACGACCCCATGAGCAGCCAGCTTCATCACATCAGTATCAATTCTCCAAGCGAAGAAAAGAAGTGGGAGTCCTTTACCTTCCCGACCAATCCTCTCGCACCAGGACCCCGAGCAAGACACGATGGCGCTCTACTTCCCGTCACAACTGGCTGGGGCCGTAATTACCTCGTTTATCTCTTCGGGGTACGGGGTGACTCTGATTCAGAAACTCGTGCTTTAGACCCAGAAGATCCTAAAGATGCGGGTCAAGTGACGCAGTTCAGCGATACATGGGTCCTCCAGATTCCCTCTAGCGACTTAGAGCCAAAGGCATCCATGACACTCAAGAACGCAATCAATCCTGCTAAACTCAAGGATGCTATCAGATCCGCAGTGGGCGCCGAAACTGGCCATCTCTCATGGGCAGAAGCAGTGGTGCAGCTTCCGCCGGAGAAGCAACTAGACGAGGATGGAAAGCTTCATCCCGGCCCGAGAGCTTTCTTTGGCGCAGATGTAATGGAAGGGGGTAACAGTGTCATATTCTGGGGCGGCGTAGACGCAAAAGGGGAGAGGGTAGGTGATGGCTGGATAGCAAAGTTCGACTAAGTAGCCTCACATATCCAAACCCATCATGTACATTATTGTCAACGAGTTAACAAAAAAAAGAATATACATTTCTTTTCTCGAAAGACCAAGTCTTATATACGTAACTTTAATCTCTCCGATAAATCCCCGCTATCCAACACGCCCTCAGCAGCGCAAGACCCCACGCCATGCCCAGACTATCCCACACAACATTCAGTTTACTCCCCATGACTTCCTTCCACCCAATCGCCACCTCAATCATAGCAATATCCGCACTCTCAGCAAGCATCAGCATTTCAACATCGAAAATCCACCCTTCAGAATGCATATACGGAATGATATACGGCAGCGCGGGCCGCGAAAAGAGTTTAAAGCCACACTGCGTATCGCGGATTCGCGCCGTGGCGGGGGGCGTCATGATGCGTAGCAAGAGATGGAACGCATGCATGAGGAAGTTGCGGAGTTTGGAACGTTTAACGACGGCTTCGCTGCCGACGAGGTGGGCGCGGGATCCGATTGCTACGCCGCGACCGTGCTTGTCTTCGATTTTCTGGCAACCTTGGACGAGGGCGCCGAGGTCAGAGAAGCGGCTTGCGCCGTCTGCGTCGGCGAAGACGACGTAGCGGCCGCGGACGTGGCGCATGCCGTGGGTTACGGCGCCGCCTTTGCCTCTGTTTTGCTCGAGGGAGATGACGCGGATGCTGCCGTGGGGGATGTGGGTTGAGTGTTGCGCCGTTGCGTTTGCATTTTCTGAAGACCAAGGACCGGGTTTGGGTTTGGGATGCTGGCTAAGTTGGTGTTCTTTTGCGAAGTTCAAGGCTACATCTACGGTTTTGTCTTTGCTTCCGTCGCTGACGATGAGGATTTCCCAGCCTTTTTGGGCGGTGCTGCCTTTTTGGCCGCCGTGCGCGTCACCGTATTCGCTCTCGAGGAATTGGACGGCTTCTTCGAGCATGCCTTCTAGACGGTCTTCTTCGTTGTAGGCGGGTACCACGACACTCATGAATAGTTCGGCCTCTTCAATCGGCATTTGCGGTGGGATAACAACTTTGCTGCCCGGCTCTTTTGCTGCTTTTCTTTTCGCGACTTCCTTCTCTGCGGCCCATTTGTCCAGCCAACACGGCAATTCCTTGGGTTCGCTTCGCGCTCCGTCGGGCAGTATCGTGATGTATTGTTTCTCAGATCGGCGTGGTGGACGTGGAGTTGGCGCAAGTAGATTTAGTGCTACGTAAACCTATTCACCATAGCACACCAAGTCAGTAATCTGTACTACACATTATATATCAATGCGCGTGTATGTATCTTACCCAGAAACCAAGTGCACCTATCAAGAAAACCAGCCCGACACAAAGCACCCACGTCGGCGGCATTTCAACAGCCTGCCTGGGATGTGATTCGAATCCATACCCAGGACCAAACTTATCCGTATCAAAAGCGCGGTTCTCGTTCGACATGGTTGTTTTGGAAAGCGGGGAGGGTGATTGGGGATTTGGGATAAATGCGCGCCCTCAAGAGGACTGTACAAGGGTCGCGCGCGTTACCGAAAAGCCGAGGACATTGAGTGACAAACTCAAAAAAGGAAAAAAGCGAATATGACCTTTCAAACGTGCGGCATGTGGGCGGACAATGTGTTATTTTAAGGGTTCAGTAATGCGAGTAGGGAAGGGAAGATGCCAATTGCGGGTTGCGCGCCAGCCAATTGGCACGAGAAGATGCAACGTGGAAGCTGACGTAGATAATAGGCCCGTGGGTTTGGTTAGCGGGCCGAGGACCGCTTCCTTAGGTAAGCTCTGGTGTGTGGAGTTACCTTATTACGCAGGCGCATTTCCAGCATCTAGGGTCTAAACATGGGATTTTAATATTAGCATGGACAGGCTTTAAATTAGCTCTTGGAGTAATGGCTGATGGAAACGATTCAATTACAGCAAGGACAGAGTCGGCATGTATCTAGCCTGGCCTTCTTCAATCACCTATTGAATTGATGGCATAGAATCTAGTCCCATCTAGCCTTGGATGTACTATTCAGTACCGAAAAATTAGTCCCTAGGATGCGCGGAATGCATCCGAAATACTCGAAACAGTATGCGTATGTCCAGATCTATAAAGAAAACAAAACTTGCTCTACCATACCACCTTCCCTATTGTAAATTGGTGCCGCAACATATGTACCATATGAAAAAAAAGAAATAAGGGACATATGGGTCCAGGTACATTCTAAGTGCCGAAGAGAGAAGTGGTCCGCAAGAAGGAATACCGTAGTGACAAAGAAAAAGGACTAGATCTCCGGTTCTTCAGTCCTCGTGCTGCGTCTCTTTTCTTCATCGATATATACTGGAAGCCGATTAGCATCTACTCAGTCAATTCCATAACAATCAAACTAGTAACTTACCATGCGGACGAATAAACCAACTACACAAGAACGCAAGCCCAAACGTAGCGGCAAGTGACACAAACACAGTTTGCCTATACGTCCCAACAGTAGCACTGTAAATGCCATTGAAGATAGTAGGCCCCATAACACGCGCAACAGCATGAAGCAAGCCCGTAGCACCAAGCAACTGACCAACTTGATCCTGCGGCACGTGTTTCGTCAACGCTGCACCCAGAGACGGCGATCCAATACCACCGATGGAAGCCAGAGCGCCAGAAAGTGCAAACAGCTCGCCCTTGCGTACAAGCGCGAAACCGAGATATCCCATCATATCAAAGAAGATAGCAGCGCGGATGATGGAGAGATCAAAGAGGTCGGAGCCAGAGTTACGGGTGCGAGCAGCGCCGTTTTTGCCACGGAAAATGCGGGTGAGGAGGGGTAGGATGACGAGGAGAGAAAAGACGCGACAGCTGTTGACGATAGTTGTGAAGCGCCCGGATTCGAATTCGTGCCAGTCGAATTGGCGGCGCGTGTAGACTAGTACGACGCTCATGGCGCCCATTGCGACGCCGAACATGATGGTGTCGGTGGCAGCGAGCAGAACGAGGTTCCAGCGAACGGCAGACGAAGTGCCAGGACCAGTTGGCCAGAGAATTTTGAGAGGGCCGAAGAGGTTGACAGAACGGAGCTGGTTGATCCAGTCGGCTGCAGGTTCGTGTCGTTCAATTTCCTCTTGGTATTTCTCGCGTGCAGCCTCCTGTCGTGCTTTACTTAGCGACTCGGGGACCACAAAGGCAAGGAAAGCAATAAAGAACAGATGCGCGCCCAGAGCCATGTAGAAGATGAGAAGCACAGCTTCCGTCTTGCCCACAGCCTTTTCCCGAGCATTGATAATGTACCCGGCAAGAACAGGTCCGATAGCAATGCCACCAAACAGACATGCGTGAAAGTACGAGAAAGCTACATTTCGCTTCTGGGGCGCAACCACGTCAGATGCATACGAATGCGCGCAAGCCATGCCAACAATGAAAGACCCAGATATGCCTTCCAAACAATATCCAACCAGGATCCAGTTGACATGAACGGTTTCCGGAAACTTTGCAGCGAGGATGGTGATGATTTCGCCGAGGAGGGTGCCGCACGTGTTGGCAATCATAAATTTCTTACGTCCATATCGGTCGGAAAGGGCACCGATCTTCGGGCTGATAATGGCGGATAGCAGGCCAGAGCATAAGCTGGCGTATAGAAGGAAGAGCGAGGAACGGGATGAAATAACGTCGTTCTGGCAGCGGTCTTGGCCTGGGTCCATGGGCGAGGATATCGGGTCGGTCTCTAGCGTGGCGTAGTAGTCTTCACAAACTAAATCCATAATCAGGTTGATCTTGGGCACGATAATACCACCAAATGCTGTGGTGAAGAGTAGGAACGGGGGCAGGAGCCAGTAAATCTGTGCTTGTCAGCCGTCGTCGTTATGACGCGTGAGTCTTGATGCGCCTACCGAAGGTCGCTTCCACCAGGGAAGGCCCCGAAAATCTGCGTCTCCAGCCCATTCTTCCTCGCTATCGTTGTGCTCGTCGCCACGGGCGCTTCCATAGTCGTCGTCTCCAGAGGGGCGCAGGAGGGGCGCGTCTTCGTTGTCGCTATCGGGGGCGGGCGAAGTTGCCCCTGACTTATGCGACTGGCTCGAACCCCTCACACGGGCTTCAAGCTCACGCTCGATATCGACATCCTCGACAAATGCAGAATCCGTAGTCGCAGCCATATCGAGCAGAGTGTCGTGTTCAACCTGTTCTGGTCCAGAAGTCGACTCCACTGGTGGTGGTGGGGATCCGGGGTATTGTTGCGGGGCGGTATTCGGGTTACGATAGCGTGCGCATTGCTGGAGCTCAACTGCTTCTTCTGTTAGCTCCCTGCTGTCCATGGAGCGATAGGCGGCATTGCAAAAGACATGACGCGGTCGAGTAGCGCAAAAAGCAACTGGGCGCAGTGGTCTTCGCCCTTCGCCCTTCGGGAGTCGGTACAATGCGCACTTCAGCTTACCAAGAATAGAACGCCTCACGTAAAGCCCACGGCGGGTCGCGTTACAGGAAACAAAGGATGAGGGGTAAACACAGTGGATGGTGATGTCGATATCTTGTCCGTAACATTACGTCCACTAGCGCTCGCTTCGAGCATGGCGTGCAACGGCGTGACTGTGGAGGATTCGCTGTAAATAATGGTCATGACGTTGCCATGTTTCGTGCGTCTCCAGTTCCACCCCCACTAGCATACTTGCGGTTCAAGTCCGCGGGCTACTCCAGATAATCATTGGCGTCGGAGTTTAATGTTACCCCGTCTCCATTCGGTCGATAGGAAGTTAAAAGTTGACGGGAGTATATTGTGAGCTTGTGCCCTGTCTTATCTTGATAGAGAAGGTTGGGTAGGTGCATGACAGGGGGTGAAGGGTGATCGGCCGAGAACAAACGCCGACAGCATATCACAGGGCAAGTGTAACAAGAACATCATGGGCACAGCATAGTCTCGGTACCATTCACTTGGGAGTTAAACTATCTCGCCATCTCCCTACAACCCACTGCAGATCGTCCAGCCGCGCTGGCTTGACTAGATATTGATCCACGCCCGACGCATAAGCAGCGTTCCGGTCCTTGTCGCTCGACAGTCCCGTAAGCGCACATATGTAAACCCGAGACCGACTTTCCCACTTAGCCTCGATCTCACGTATCTGCCTTGCAACATCGAACCCCGAAACCTCGGGCATTGACAAGTCGAGAAAGATGAGATCAAAATGCTGCGCCGTGTTGTCGTCGTCAAAGAAGGCGGCCTTGAATGCATCAATCGCTTTCTGGCCCCCATCAACAGACTTTGCTGCCATCTTGCTGCACTTTCGCGCGTACATTCCCAGTACTTTAAGATTTACCGGGTTGTCGTCCACCAGTAGCAGCTTTGGCTCTCTCAGATTGGGTTTTGGCGGCAAAGGGGGCGTCGGCACTGCCAACTCCTTTGTCTGCGCATTCCCATCCACATGGTTGATAGTTAACTTTGCAGCTGCATCAGCCGCTAGTCTATCCAGTGGTTCTATGGAGGTTGTTTTCGATGCTGCCTCCAACGGTACTTCATCCATAGTATCATTCCCCTGAGAAGGTGCTTCCCTTATCGTATACATTTCATGGGACAATCCGTCTCCAGGCGGTGTGTTGTTGTTATTCTCCTCCTCTCTCTGTCTTCCCCTAGCCAACATTGTTTCAATCGAATCCCCCATCGAGCCGCGCAATGGCTCAACGTCATCGTGGGGGTCTGAAACCGTAATCAGGTCCGGAAACAAACCTGCCAACGCATCCTGGAGGTTGGACAGCGTGACCGAGCCAATGATAGTAGTGATACCCTCCAAAGGTGATATACCCGGGGTGGGGGAGGCCTGAAGGTCCGGACAAAGCACAATACATCGGGCGTGATCGAACGCCTCCCCATACGTTCGTTTTGCGTCGGCCAAGTCTTCTTCTAACACAATCAGCAGCCGCAAGTCCGGGCTGGAGGACTCCCATGATGTGACGGTGACTTGGAACCATCGACTCAGACTTCGGGTAAGCGACGCCAAAAGCATTTCGATACACCGAGGGCCCCTCATTCCGCCTTCTGATGTCCATCGGCTTGGCACAAACACGCTTAGCTGGAGTTCAGGCAGGCTGCTGCCTCCAAGTTCCAGCACGTGACTTGGGTCAAAGACCACCCGCTGTAAAGGGAACTTCACCGTAAATGTAGAGCCACGTGTTTCCTTGGAGTCGACATCGAGTTGGCCGCCCAGCGCAGTGACTGTGCGCTTAACTATGGAAAGTCCGAGTCCCGTTCCTTCGACCAGAGGATCTTCTTGCGAAAACGCATCGAAGATGGAATGGCGAAGAAAGTCCGGGTTAATCCCTTTGCCCGCATCGGTGAAGCAAAGCGTGCATGACGTCTCGTCGACGTCCAAGGACACGCGGACGCATCCTGTAGGACAGTTGAATTTTATAGCATTGTTCTTTACGCCCGTCAGCTTACATACAGCAGGAATACGTAATGCGTCTTTCTTACTAGCAAGTGTGTGAA